GTACACTTATACATAGTTAGGACAATAGATGGGTACACTTATACATAGTTAGGACAATAGATGGGTACACTTATACATAGTTAGGACAATAGATGGGTACACTTATACATAGTTAGGACAATAGATGTACATAGTTAGGACAATAGATGTACATAGTTAGGACAATAGATGTACATAGTTAGGACAATAGATGGGTACACTTATACATAGTTGGGATAAAAGGTGGGTAGACACATACATTGTTAGGACATAACTTAGGTTCACGTATACATAGTTAGGACAAAAGCTGGTGTCTACACTTAATACATTTTACTCTACATGTCTTTTTTTGGTTTTAGTAGAGGTTTTACGGCGCACGCAACTGCATAAGATCCTGTGAGTGCCAACTCTGCACGTCTTGCTACATTATGTCTACACTTTGCTACATCAGAATTAGAAAGTTCTATATGACAATTTGGACCATTTTGAGTTACTAAGATGCGGTCAGAAATCAATTAATGTTCCGTCTGCCTTATCAGAATCGCAAGGTTATTCGGAGTCGTTATCAAGATATTCAAAGAACTGCATTCGAAAAAGCTTTAAAATACTGGTATTATTGTAAAACAAAACATTTTTGACGTCAAATTTCTCAAAACTAGTTACTGAGAAGATCATAAGTTAGTAATTCTGAGGTAGCGACTTGTAAAATTTGTCTCTACAGCCTCAGCTCGGTCCAACGTTGTGTCCTTGGGAAAGGCACTTTACACGAATTTCCCACTTGGCTCGGTCCTATCGGAGACGGACGTTAACTTGGACGTCCTGACCTTAAATAACCTAATAGTGTTGATAGGGGCGTTAAACTCCTACCATTTTCAATACCTGTTGACCACACCCCTGCTACATCTGACTCCAGTGGCTAAGTAAGTAGTGAGTTTAGAATCAAGTAATGTCAAGCAAGTGTCTGTGACAGGGGGATCAGATGGGGGGTCACTGGGGTGTGTCCTAGAGCAAGACACGACAACCCCAGCTCAAAATACAAGGCGCTGCACAGTGGCGACCGACAGTGGCATGGTTGTAAACTGTTCTGTACTGGTGTAATATTGTGTATTTATGTATGTATTTGTGTTTGTATTTATGTATGTACGTATTTATAATATGTATTTACGTATGTATGTGTGTTTGCCATTGTAATCCAAAGTGCCCTTCTGGGACAAATAAAAGTGTAATTTTTTAAAAATAT